CCCCCCCATAAGAACGTGCATCCACACACAAGCACACGAGTTCACGTGCACACACAAAAAGATCAAAATATTATAGTATAGTCATGTTGTAAATATTTGGGCAATCTCATTGTTTATAAACCTTGTCCATCCTCCAGGATCTGCCTTTTTATCATTATGCCTAACAAAAGTCGAGATCCTAAATTTTGAGATTAACTGTTGGCTCCATCAAATTATTTGAAATCATGTAAATCTTAAATGTTGTACTTGGTCATGAAGGAAGACAATTTATATTGAAATATTTATTTTGCTTGGGATATTTATTAACATCCCATGGAGTCTTCAATGGTGGCAAGATGACGATTCTACTAATGTGTAGTATTGATGTGAGATACTTAAATTTCCTTACACTTATATCATTGGGGTTTGATTGGAGTTGTCAATGTCATCAAGAAGTATTCTGTCACCAAAAACAAAACAACAGAACACTTTCCACGTCTACCATTCCCATGACAACTTCAAATAGAAGATCAACTCCTGAATCATTGAACTGAAAATGGAGCACTTGTAGGTTAAGTTTGGGAACAATCAGTGAATTTCTACAGCGAGATTCACCTTTCACCAAGCAACTTGGTCGAAGGACTGATTTAAGCAAGTGCTAAATCTACAAATGAAAATGATTTTGGCCTAAGGATTAGTTATACATGATATAAGTTTTTGTAATTGATATACAGTAAGATCAGGGTGATGAACTCAGATCCCTTGTCAAAGGATCAGAAGGTGTTTTTATTGGGAGTATGAGTGTCTTTTGTGTGGGGTGGGATTGAAACAAAGAAATTCAATCAATGGACTCTTTCCATTTCAACCCACGTCCTTGGTATGCAACGATGTAATGAGGATGAACAGTGGAATAGGGCATGATGTAATATTAAAAAGAATAATTATATAGAAGGTCTTTAAAATTATTTTAACTATTTATTTTCCAAACTTACTATTGGGCTTATTTATATCAATTTTTAAGTGGGGAGGGTTGTAATCTCCCATGAAGGTGGGGAAGTTAGCTTTCACTTCTTTATACGAGACATGCACGCACATGCACAAAACTGTATGCATGTATATGCGTATCTGATGTACGTAGAAACATAGTACTCATGTTGCGGATGTTGGAATAGGTGATACAAATTTCATGTGGAGGATGGCGGCGTCCTCATTCATATTATCTTGGTGATATACCAGAGATGAAAAACTGCTTTGCATTCGTTAAGGTATGTTCTTGGGTTCCATCTATTTCTGTTACATGTCAAATTTATTTCTTTTCCTTTCTGTTTCTCTCTCTTAAAATCAACTTCCTATGCGAATATGGAGTTTCTGTCTCAAAGTATCTTAAATGAAGGTCTATCATGTAGTTAGTTGGGACTGAAATTTCAAACAGTACTCACATAGTCTAATAAAGTAGAACTAACCATGTAAATTGGACAAAGTCTTTTCCCATTTCGGATCGGAGTGGGCAATCAGCAATGTTATATTACCATTGTTCTTATAGGACTAGGAAATGGCATCTCTACTACTGGCTAGCTTTAGAAAAGAAGTATCCAGTCTCAAAACACTACTGTTGAGTTGTTTTGTTGCAAAAGTATTAACATTGGACTACGTCATTACATTGTATTCATACACTATCTCAATTTAGCGTAGAGCGCAAAATTATTTTTTTTCTATTCTAACTGTTGTTGGACTATCTTCATACTGGTCCTTTTTGTGCACTATTATTGATTTTTTACTCTTACTGTCTCGTCCATATACACTTACGGAATCCCTTGTTGCCTTTTTGTGGTAGGATAATATCATACATGTCCACAGATGCAGGGTGACAGAAAATGAGAGACAGATATATCCTCAAAGTCTGCAGTTGCAGTTTCATGGCAGGGAGATACATTCCTTGTGTTTTATTTTTGGATGTTCACTGTCCAGTTCAGAAAAGGGGCAGTGCTTTCTTTCTAGACATTCTTGGATTGCAACAGGTTGTGAAGATGGAACTGTGCGATTGACTGGGTAAGACTTCTATTTTTTATTTTATTTTTTATATTTTCCAATAATCCAAGAGTAAGACATCTGACACAGCCTGGGAAAATGCTGATATCTGGCGCAGCCTGGGGAAACACAATTTTAAAGACTTAATTTTTCAATTTCACCTATTACTGAGCTTTTTACAAATTAATTGTTTGATAAATGTCTCAGGGCTGAGCCAGGTAAGGAGAATTGGTTGACTTCCAAACTACTAGGAGAACATGTTGGTGGATCGGCTGTACGTTCAATATGCTCAGTGTCGAAGATAAATATCTTTATGTCAGATTTGTTGGGTATGCCTGATGTGGTTTACAGACAAAATGGGACCTTAGAAGAGCAAGAGATTCCTTTCATTTTAATATCTGTTGGTGCAAAACGGGTAGTAACTGCATGGAAACAAATAATTAGGACGAGCAACAAAAGAGTAGACACAAAATATAGCGAACTAGATACTAAACATGAAAAAAGCTTTAGCTCATCTTCAGCAACAATGCCATTATTGTCCTTCCAATGGCTCTCCACTGATATGCCATCCAAAAGTACTAGTTATGCAAAACGACAAAACACGAAGGGAGTTTTTGAAACAGCTGAAAATGCTTGCATTATGAAGTCCAATGCCGTATCTGGTGAATCACATTCTTCAGAATGCAGGAAGATGGACCATGGAGATAAATTTGAAAATGACTGGAGATATCTAGCTGTTACTGCTTTTCTAGTTAAAGTTTCTAAGTCCAGGTCTCTTTGAGTAACAACATTGTATTCTCTTAATGTGGATTTTTGTCTACATTATTTTTCAGAGTGAAATATCATGACTCTTAAGTGAATGTGATCTCCTGCAGGATCTCTGTCTGTTTCGTTGTTGTTGCTTGTTCAGATGCTACAGTTACATTACGGGCCCTTGTATTACCTTATAGGCTCTGGTATGCGTTTTAACTTCCATTAATTAGCTTATAGAACATTGCAAATGAATGCATTTATAAAAATGCTATATCTTGTGCTCAATTTTGGATGATGTGAACTGAATTTCTTTGCAATCTCTATTTCTTGCCTTAATTTCCTTTTTGTTCTATTTTGAATTGCATGGCAGGTTTGATGTGGCCTCATTAGCTCCTTTGTCATCACCTGTCCTAGCTTTGCAGCATGTAGTGGGTCCTAAGCTTCTGCCATCTAAAGGTTTGTAAAATCTGATAAACAAATCAAATTGTTGAGAAATTTCAAAATGTTATGCGACAAATCAACAGTTCCAAATTCCAATTAACTTCTAAAAATGTTCTGGTCTTCTATTAGAGCCTGTTTGAGAGTGATTTTAAATTGATTTTTTGACCGTTAGGAGAAAAGTGGGGTCCACCCGTGAGAGAAGAAGTCAAATATGACGGCTGGAATAGTGAAATAACGATCAAAAAATCAATTTTTTGGATGAAAAAATTGCTCCCAAACAGGGCCTTAATAATGATGATGCTGTCAGAAGTTTCTGTAAATCAAAGTGCAAAGTGTGCCACATGGTAGTCGACTACCTGTAAGTGCAATCTTAAAATAAAGCTCTCATCTAACGGAGATTATGAACTAATAAGTTACAATCTGATAGGAACCTCAAATCCATATTACTGAATGAAATGACAATGGAAAATTATAATAGTTTGACGAGCTTGAGAGGCCCATCTCTCTCCCGATTCCACCCTTAATTTCTGCCTACTGAAATGAAAATATCCTTCCCTATTTATGGACAAAAGCCTATATTAAATCCCCATAATACCCCCAAAGCAAGTGACAATTGAACTAGCTATTAATTTGGATTCTATCACAATTCCGAGACAAAAACTTGCTGTTCTTACTCCTGTACCTTTGACTTCAATCAATGTGGGGCCTGAATATTAACGATAGTCTCTTGGGCAGTTTATTCTTCTATCTTTTTCTTCATGTTCCTGTTCGTGATTTCACACTGTTTTTAAGAAGTTTTTAGGTGGATATTGAAGATTGTAATTTAGCGTCACTGTTCAATTTTTTCCCTTATAATGACTATTTGAATAACTTTATAGAACCTGATTTTTCAGGAAACGTACAGATTGGGAATCTTTACATTGTTATTAGTGGATCTACTGATGGAAGTATTGCCTTTTGGGATCTGACTGAATGTGTTGGAAATTTTATGCAACGAATATCAACCTTCAAAACTGAAAACTACATAGAATTTCAGAAAAGGCCACGCACAGGCAGAGGAAGCCAAGGTGGACGATGGTGGAGATCCATAAATAATCATAATTCAAAGAAAAAAACAGGTGGCTTAAAATCAGTTGGTCATCATGTTTTGGACGGAAAATCTGACAATGATTTGATCTCCACGGAAACTGCAGAATCTAGCAATGAAATGCAAAATTATATTTGCCCATCATCAAACATGTCCTTTCCTGAACAAAGATGTTCTCCTGTTTATCCCCAAGTTTCAGAGAATTCTTCACTTGTTATGGAAGAAAAAAGAGATGATTCATCAACAGAAATGTCTGCAGTAGCTGCCATACATGTTTTGAATAATGTTCATCAGTCCGGGGTCAACTCTCTTAGTGTTTCTTATATAGAGGACCCAGTTATTTGTGATTCTGGGTTTTCATTCTATGTTGTAAGTGGGGGTGATGATCAAGCACTTAGCTTTCTTAGATGTGATTTGGAAATAAATCACACAGGCCTGCACTCTGAGAATTTTACTGCAGAAAATCATTGTGTGACTTCAACAGCGAGTAATAACGAGTCTAGTTACAGTTGTCAAATCCAAAACCATCAGATAAAGTTTTTATCCCTGGATAAGGTCAACTCAGCTCATAGCTCTGCTGTCAAAGGTACTTGTTCAGTTATTTGTTTCTAATGCTTGATCTATTTTAATCCTTTCCATTTAGAGGTTAAAAGGATCTTTAGTAAATCGAAGTGATGGTAAAGTATCAAGACTTTGCATTTTATTTTATTCTTGTCAGCTGTCCTTTCTGAATGCACAACCGTAAACATCACAAGCTTACTAGAACTGGATCTTTTCTGCTCCTTTCTTCAATAGTGAGACTACAATATTAACATTCATATCGTACGAAAATTCCTTGTGTTAGAAGTAATTACGACAGAATCTCATGGAAGTTGTTTTTATACATTAAGGTCAAAAACTCTGATTAATTGTTTGCATGAAATAACAAATTTGACATATTCTTGGTAAGAGCCTTGATTTTCGGAAGAGAAATAATTTCTGGTCTTATAGATGATATAGCACAATTTTTAATTTTATCAAAAAGGTGTATGGACCGATGGGCGTTGGGCGTTTTCTACTGGTCTTGATCAGCGTGTCAGGTGTTGGAACCTTGACCGTGGTAGACTCGAGGAGTGTGCTAATTTAGTTATTAGTGTTCCAGAGCCAGAAGCATTGGATGTTAAAGCCTGTGGAAGGTGAGGGAAATAATATCATTTTTCAATTTTGATAATTCTTGTTATAGCTGTTGTTTTGTTTCGTCCTCTGTTACTTGTTTACCTCATTGTTATCATGTTGATTTCAGAAATTATTATCTGATTGCAATCGCTGGAAGAGGAATGCAAATGGTTGAATTCTTTCCACCAGGTGGAATGGACGGTGAAGAATAGGCCAGCTTTCATCCGAGTGTGAAAGCACGTGTAGTTTTGTGCTATATGAGCAATCATCATGCTGAGATACTCTGTCATCCTTTCCATTAATAATTATTTGAAATTCGTTATTAGTAGTTGATTCTCCGAGAAGAAGTAAAATGTTTAAAATTTGCGGGCATATCAGAATGTGAAAATAAGATTTTCATTTCACTTACTTGTTATGTTTCCCTCGGGGTAATCTCACAGATGACATATAGTAGTTAACGTATGTAAAACAATGTCTTATTCATGTAGTTTAGTCCCTGAAACTTGATTTCATGATGTCAATTTGATTATCCTGAAGAGGTGTGCTATCCAGTGGCCCACCTTTACTTGGGAGTAACATTAATTCCTATACATGTAGAGGATATAATGTGGAAGGATGGACCCAAACAGAGAGGCTTCTCTCTTAACAATTAATTCCTATAAGTGAACCTTTTATGAAAGAATGGCAGTATATGATCTTATAAATATTAATTTAGGATCGTGCGAGGAAGTTTCAAAAATCTTATCAATTGGGTAACGTGCAGGCTGATTTTGTGAAGTGCCTACAGTACTTGTGAAAATAGTTTCACAGAAGTAAATTGTTACGACATCTATTTATTAAAATTAAACACTAGGAAAGAATTCCAAATTACATCCACTAAATAAAAAATTTATAAATTAATAAAATTGGGGATGAAGCTTCGTAGTAGTAGGATGGGAATTTAATATGGTGGATGCATTTTGTCAACCTTTTAATTGAGAAAGAGGTGAAGCCTAGAAATAATGCTTTTGAAGGTTGTGATTTTTAATTAAAAGAAAAAAGAGTACATTTTGTTCATTATAATGGAAGTAGGGATGCAAAAGTAAGATACAGAAGTAAGGATGGTCTTGACTCCTGAGGTATCTTGTATATGTCAGTTTAACTACAGAATGATTGGTTGTCATTTTTTGCACACAAATAAAGATGGTGTTGAGGTATGTATGTAAGGAAAATGTTGAAGAACCCCGGATTAAATACCGGGTTCCGTTCCAGGGGCAGAGCCTTTGTCCCTGATTTTGATGGTGGGCCCCCCAAGTGCAGAAGATCAACGGTCGAGGTGTTTCCACCTTGGCCTAGGATTGGAGCCCGGGATTTAAACCTGGGCTTTGTAGCACGATTGATCTATGTATGCTGGTTTAACTACAAAATGACTCGTTGCCATGACCTTTCTTTTTTTTTTTTTTTTTAAAAAAAAAAAAAATTAACATATCCTTCCAGCACATTTTTGTTTAATTGTTTAACGCCACTTGCATGAAGCACCCTAGAGAAGCAATTGATTAGAACTAGACAGTATTAAGAAAAAAAGTAATTTTTTTTCATTATATTATCGAGTACTGCATATCAAATATGCACTTAAGGTCCTCCAATCTTCTCTCCTGTTTCACTAACCAGCGGATTGAGTTTTTTGCAGCTGTATTCATTCACTTTTTTAGTCCACGTTTGAGTGCATGAATTTGCTTTTCCTGGGACAGGATGGAAGCTGCCTTGAGCTACAATGGGTCGTTAAACTTGGCGAACTGGAGCTTCAGGATCATTTGGCAGGGGCAGGCCTTAAATTTTTATTTTTATTTATATTTATTTATTTATTTTTTTCTCCTTCTATTGTGGACAATTGGGAAATGCTTTGAGCTTTATTTTGGATTACAAATGTAGTTGTTAGATTTCAGTAACTACGCGTACATGGTGCGGTGCTCGAATGGTGGGAGCAATTCCTGTTTCTATACGCCATGTTTGAATTCTACTTTTTCAGGTCAAAAAGTAAAAACTGATATTTCATAGGACTTTACTTAAAACTAGGAATATTAATATCAACAAATGGAGACATTGAGATATTTACTTTCAACTCTTGGTTGGTGACTAATTGCAATATTGACTCTGTGATTGTATACCAACTTTCTACCAACCTTTGGCTAATCTCAACTACCGCGCTTGGTTAAAAATTATTATTTTATTCCACATAATAATTAATGTTAAATTTCTGTTTTCCCGTTCCTATATCACTAGTGCCATGTCCGTGCAATGCACAGAATGGTCTTTTTTAAAAGTAATGTTAGCGTGTTGAGTGTTCTAGAAAAATATTTGCATTTTCTAAAGGTCCAACTTTACCAAATATGGCAAATGCAATAATCATTTCATGGAATTATTCTTGACTTGTGCCAATTTCCCCGATTTCATACATTTATCATAAAGCATTCAACAAAAACAAACGATTTATGTGGGAGATGCTAGAAGTGTAACTCAAATAGGAGTCTAAATTGTATTAGATTTCTTACCTTTTTTGGGACTCTTTTAGGGTTAGACTTTATACTATAAATACAAGGCTCCTCTGTCAGTTTTATTGAAGTCATTATTACTGTAATTCTCTCATTTCATTGATTGAATAAAATAACATCGTTCCTCTACCAGTTTTTTTATTTCTTTACTTTAATCTTGTTCTTGGGTTATTCGTGATCTTGTTAATTACTTCAATTACAACAAGTGGAATTCATTAAATCTCAATTCCTGCATTATTGGTCAATCGGTCCCAACAAGTGGTATCAGAGCGGGGTTATTGGTGAATTTTTGGCCTGAAATTGATCAAAAAATCGTCTGAAAATTACCAGAAAATCAGAAAACGAATCTGTCCAATTTTTCGATTTTCTACCGGATCTATTTTTGCGTTTTCTGGTCAAACCAAAAAGAGTTTAGAGAAACGAACACCACCAGTGGACTCAGCAGGCAGAAATGGTCCAAAAAGGGTCACATGTCGTCGGCGCTTTTCCGGCCAATCGCCAGCGGTGGAACTCTAGCAAGGAGAGTGGCGGCGCGTGCAGCGTTTTCCGGCGACAGTGTCTTCAGGCAGTTTTCTCCGGACGACGAGACGGACCTTGTAGGGGTGTCCAATTTCAGTTTTGGGCAAAATTGTGGTATTGAACTATTTTGCTCCTTGCACGTTCGGTAGTTTTCAGTTTTAGGTGTTGCAGGTTGCAAGTTCTTCGTGATTGGATTGAGATTTTTCAGAGATGAATTTGTTGAAGTATGAAATTCCGCTATTGGATCGCAATACAAGATTTTCGATGTGACAAGTAAAGGTGAGAGCTGTGTTGACGCAGATGGTTCTTGATGATGCTTTGCTGGATTTTGATAGGATGCCAGCAAGCTTGTCTATGGAGGAGAAACAATGGAAGGATCGGAAGGCTTTAGCACAAATCAAACTTCATTTATCCAACAATTTGCTGCAAGATGTTTTGAAGGAGAAGACAGCGGCTGCTTTGTGGCTCAAGCTGGAGCAGTTATGCATGACAAAGAGTTTGACGAGCAAACTGACTCTAAAGCAGAGGTTGTATTCTCATCGCATGGCAGAAGGAGGGTCACTGCAGGACCACCTTGCTGTGTTCAAGGAGATCGTTGCAGATTTGTAGACGTTGGAGGTAAAATATGATGAAGATGATTTAGCCTTGGTCCTGTTGTGTTTGCTACCCAATTCTTTTTCGTCATTTCATGATACTATTCTGTATAGTCTTGACACGTTATCCATTGAGGAGGTATACCACGCCCTGTTCTCAAAAGAGAAGATAGAGTTGTTGGTTGGAGATCCTGCATCTGGGAGTGGGGATGCTCTTGTTACTTATGGTGATCGACGGAGGGGTAGATCGAAGGTGAAGTACAACAATGTGTATTGCTATTACTACAAGAGGAAAGGACACATCAAGAAAGATTGCGACAAGTTGCAAAGTAAAGGTGATTTACATGCAAATCACGCGGGGCAATCAGGTAATTCGAACGATACTAATATTGCTGAAAATTTTTGTGATGATGGAGATGTGATGTTGGCTGTATTTGACTGGGAATTCAAACTTGAGGAGTGGATTCTGGATTCTACTTGTTCATATCATGTGTCCCAATAGGGCTTTGTTTCAAACATATGAGATGGTGAAGCAAGGTGGAGTTGTCATGGGAAACAACCAATCTTGCCAGGTTGCAGGAATCGGTTGAGTTAGATTGAGGTTACAGGATAGAACAGTGAGGACACTTGATCAGGTTCACCATGTTCCAGACTTGACAAAGAATCTCATATCACTTAGTACCTTAGATGAAAAAATGTACAAATTTTCAAGTGGAGGTGGAGTCTTGAAGGTTTGAAGAGGTGTCCAGGTTGTACTGGAGGGACGGAGGAAATCCCAGTTGTACATCTTGCAGGGGAGCGCAAAACCAGTTCAGAGACATTTGGACAAGTTTAGTACCGTGGTGGACATTCAATTTGGTACAGTACCTCTCGGGTTTGGCTTTGGGTCAGTTAAGAACTTTGCTCAAGGGAGTGTTGGTGATTCCGCTTTGCCACCAATTTTAGCAAGTACAGTGTGTTCTTGTAATACCAATGGACTCATGGAGCGTATGTACAGTTTTGGAGATATCTGTAAAGCTTTAGAAATCATTGAAGGTGACAATATTGGCAAGAGACCTTCTGATTGTGCATTTGGTGTGGTTTTTGTTACAGGGTGTGCCTCGACCCTGTCCAGTGATTGTTAATTCCAAGAGGAATTTTGGGAACCCGGGTTCAGGTTTGGGTGTTGCTTGTGGACGCCGAGCGGGGAACGTGTTATCGTGGAGAGTTTGGTTAGCGTTGAGGAGACTGGTCAGTTCATTCTGATGCAGACGAATTATTTCTCAAAGTGGAGAAATTTTGGAGCTTCGTTCGTTGCACCGGAATTTGAGTCAAGGTAAAGATTGTTAGAAGTGTGACTCAAATAGGAATCTAAATTGCATTAGATTTCTTACTTTTTTTAGGACTCTTTTAGGGCTAAATTTTATACTATAAATACAAGGCTCCTCTATTAGTTTTATTAAAGTCATTATTGCTGTAATTCTCTCATTTCATTGATTGAATAAAATAACATCATTCCTCTGCCAGTTCTTTTATTTTTTTACTTTAATCTTATTCTTGGGTTATTCGTAATCTTGTTAATTACATCAATTACAACATGTGGAATTCATTAAATCTCAATTCCTGCATTATTGGTCAATCGGTCCCAATAGGAGATTGGACAGAAAATATTTTCAATGAATTTTCATATTTTAAATCCTTATAAAAAAAAAAAAAAGAATTGAAAAAGTGTGCACAGAGAAATTCAACAAAACCTGAGAAAATCACATCGAAAAAATACAGACTAAAATTTGATCTTTTATTAACTTGTTCATATGACAGTAGTTGCTCTTATTAGTGAGTCTAGACATATTACAACAATCACAATAAGTAATAAAAATGAAAATCCGA